TAATTGGAATAGAAGTAGGATTTGAAACAGAAATAGGATTTGAAACAAAATAAGAAACTTGAATGTTGGACACTAAACGTATAATACTGACACCCTGAATTACGTGTCGACACAAAATAGGAAACAGAAAGTTTGATTCTGGACTATTAACTCATGGTGTCGACACCCATATTATGTGTTTAAGAATAAACCTAGCAAAATGAAGACGACAACATTGGCAAGTGCACGCCACTCAAGAAGGTAGGGTTTTAAGAATAAAGTTGCAACTCATTTATAAAGGTAGCATTGTAGGGGAATTTGAAATTTAGAATTAAAATTTAGGTATATAATTAAAAAAAATAAAAAAATTAGGAAATATAAGATATGCTATTTTTATTTTTAATTAAATCAACAGAGTCATTATCTTATAAAATAAGAAAAAGAAAATTTGAAATATTATAAAAATATTATATTATTTAATTAAGTTATCTTATAATCGGATTTTTTTTTATAATCGGACAATTCGGGTAGTTTGAAAATAAAATCACAAACCAAACCAATTATATCGGTTTTAAATTTTTATAATCCAAATCAACCTAATTTTATATCAGTTTGGTTTGATTTTTAATCGGATTGGATCAATTTAGGTCGGATCAATCAGATTAGATCGGATATGAACACCATTAATTCACATAATAATAACATTAGAATTAAAGTTATTTTTTATTATTTTTTATATAAATTAATTATAAAAAATATATTTATTACACTTTTAAAAATACAAATTAAATAAACCCTTAAAACAAAAAGGTGATAATGAATAAAATAAGGGATTTATAGGGGCGACATTATTTATGCTCTTGCAAATTAGAGGAATGACAATGAACAATTACATAGTAGAGACACAAACATGAGTAAATATTAAAAAGTAGAGGGAGGACAATTGACTTTAACCCCATATTAACAGAAAGCCCATCAATTCTTGCAGCCGCTTCCTTTTCAGGGGAAAGTATACTCGCTCTAGATATGATTTCCCTTATCTTCGTCCATCACTGATACTAATTATCGTACCCTTGATATCCCAGAAGATTTGTTTGTCACCTAAAATGCACATTCCAGATTTTCTTGCCAAGATTGAAGCCGAAAACTCTTTGATTGACTGGTGAGCATAAATCACGCAATCTCCGGAAACCCTCTGCTGCCACCTTGGCTGAGAATCGCAGGAACAAATATGAAGAGATGTTATATTAAAAGATATATTTATGAGGTTTATGAACCTCCATATATATATATATATATATATTACTCTAACATCTTGTTTCTCTTGTTTCTCTTCGCTGTGTATTGTATGCACTTGTGAACTTTATTCTCCAACAAGGAAAACACCATGCTCTCCTCTACCAATCGGTTGATTACACATGTCCCTCCCCGAAAGCCCCATCTCTCCTCCTCATGCCTTTGCAGCGGTCATCGGACCACCACCAGACTCCATCCCTCGCCACTGTTTTGCAGCCTCTATACCAAGAGTACTCCCCCACAAAAATCTCCGCAGCATTGCCCTCAATGACCACAAGACTTCCACCCTCACCATGTTTCAAGGCCCTAACAGGCCGTAGAAAGTGGATCCCCAAAGAGAAGACAGAAAAAAAGAGAAAACCACAAGAAAATTGCCAAACCTCCCATGATGGGAGAACATACAATTCCCACAAGAGGAACCCTAGAAGCGACTTTCATCGTTTTCCTTTAGTTAGCAGGAGACGGAGCTTTAAAAACACTTTATTATCTAAAAGAAGTATAAGCTACAAGGTACTCGATACATTCCAAACAAATGCAAGGAAAGGACATCATAGAGCACAGCAAAGCTGCGTAAGAATCATAGAACACCCAACGCTCAAAGGAAAAATCCAGCCGTGTATATCAGACACGAAGCTTACCCTGGAGATATTGTTGGGTTAGGCCTATCCCTCCTATGTGGAGTGGGTTAGGCCTATCCCTCCTATGTGGAGTGGGTTAGGCCTATCCCTCCTATGTGGAGAAATGACCAATATTTGTGGACTAAGCCCACACTTGTTAAGCCCACTTGAAGCCACGTTTTGCAGCTCTTTAAGACAAAGAAAGGAGTCTGATTTGGACAGCAGAAAGTGGAGAACACGTGAGGGACCAGCCGGCAGAAAAAGGAAAAGAAAGCAGGGCAGAATTCTGGAGATTTGGTACAGTGCACAGTTTTGCAACTTTGTCCGATCTGCAGAATTTAACCGTTGGATTGAGCTGAAATTTGGTTTTGGGGTTCACAAGACACTGATCTACATTCTGAACGGTCAGTTTTTCGGTTAGAGCTCTGTAGGTTCAGTTTTCATGCCCTGAACAGTGGCTCGTGTTTTGGTGCTCTGTTTTTCTTGTGGTCCCTTTTACTTTGTTGGTTTGTGCCCTATTGTTCCTTTTATTTTGTGCTGTTTTTATGCCCTTTTTAGAAGAGGATATTGTATACTTACTTTCATCATAGTGTAGCTATTTTCAGTAAACTGGATATCCCGTGGTTTTTACCCATTTTTGGGGTTTTTTACGTAAAACATTGTGTCTCTTGTGTGATTGCTTTACCTTGGCTATTTTTACTGTTCTGCATATTTTTAGCTGCTGCCATAATTTATTTGGACTCAATTTAGCTTGCTCCTAACAATTTCAAATAGATTGAGGAAGATTTTGGTGTTGTTTTTGTTTTCGCTGTGCTCAGGTGACACCCCTTCTTCCCAAACAGATATTACCACGGTGTATAGATCTGTGGTAGTGAATAGCTAGTAAGATAGTGTCCTTTTGATCTCATATTTGGTCTTAAATCTCCAGTATTCTATAGTATGTAAAAACACAACTCAATGAGGTTGATTTAAGTGGTTAGGAAGTAATTTAAGCCATACAGAGCTGATCAAAAAAAAAAATTTAAGCCATACAGAGAATGCATGTTCGAATCCTTTCAATATCATTTGACTGCAAATAATGCCAATTGGGCACGCTAGGTCTCTATCCTTAGGTGAAACCTTCATTACTTTGTATGGGACGGGTTTTATGTATTGAGGGATTAGGCCGGTCAACAGTCCAAATACTTATGTTATCCCAAAAAAAAGGTACAATTTATTTTCGAGAAATTATTAATTTAAAACACACAGATTCATATCCACTCCCAAGTAGTACTTAAATTTAAATTTGACAGAGGATAGAAAAAAATAAAAATAAAAATGAAAACATAGACTAGAAATTGATAGTTCCGGTACTGCCGTTGATACTCCCTGATTCAGTACCTGAATTGATGCCTCCTGCACCAGGGCCTTTGTTGAGATTTCCTTTAGGTGGGACTGTCTCCTGGTCACCCCTGTTAAAGTTGATATCTCCCTTATTGTCGTTGATACTCGCGGATTTTCTACCCGTGTTTTGAGCTCCAGCACCAGGACCTTTATTGATGTTTCCGGTAGGGATTTCATCTTTATTGTTAGGTACCGAGGAGGAGGAGGGGCGTGAAGTCTGCGGCTCCGTCGAACATCCATTGCCCATTTTTTGGTCTGAAATGATTTTTTTCACAAAGCTTCTAAATTCAGGGCGGGGGGTCAAAAAACTTGTTTATGACAGATAAGAAACTTGCTTTCCTTTATATATAAAGAAAAAGGATGGTAGCTTGGAATATTTGGCCATTCGCACATATCTTCAGTAGTGCACTCAAGTTGTTCAATTATTTATATATGTTTCCTTTTTTATGGAATATATCTTTTGTTACTTTATTCGATTCCAAGATTCCCTCAACTTTTAACAAATTTTCTTTTATAAAAGTTACAATTGAGCAAGATAAAGTTTACTGAATTGTGTTATCTTACTTTTCATAAAGCTAAACTTTTAAGATTATAATTCTTATGGTTTTATATATATATATATATATAAAAGAAATAATGTTTATCAACCTTATTTTATAAAGATTAAAAAGAAAATTATTTTAAAATTATTTTATTTTAATAATTTTTTATTGAAAAAAATTAAAATATCTTATTTTTAAAATATAAATTAAAGTATTTTAAATAATTTTTTTTATTTTTTAAAAAATAAAACAAATAAACACTAATATCATATATATATATATATATATATATAAATCTTAATCTTTACCCAACTAATCTCATGAGTACCATGCAAGACTTTACTCAAGGGCGGCTCATAGACATATAAGATATAGTGAAACTGCCTTTTTCTTTTTTTTTCTTTTTTCTTTTTTTTTTTTGAACACGGGAATTTTTCAGGGGAAGGACCCAAGTCATTTATGTCCAGCCATACACCTTGAAGGAGAGGCCTAGTGCTGGACAGTGAAACTGCTTTTTACCTAAATGAAAAAAAGAGAAAATCAAACTCATATTTCAACATGATTCACCTCATTCATTATTACTTCACCAAATTCCAATAAATAATAACTTTTTGTTACTAAAATGCTTAATTTTGAGCTAGGTAAATTTATTATTTTATAAAATTATACCTAAATATTAACGAGGGATTGGATTAAGTGATAAGCAGTTTGTTCCAACATAAGCAAAATCTTGAGTTCTAGTCCTTGTGTACGCAGCAGCCTTCGTTGGGAGACTCATCCACCATTCTCAAATGCGTGACGCAGGTCGATCCGAATTAATCGAGGCGAAGTCCCAGATACCGGACGAAAAACAAAAAAAAAATTATACCTAAATATTTGTAGTCACGATAATATATGTTATAATTATTTTTTAAAATAAAAGCATGATATCTTTAAATAAAAAATAAATAATTAAATTTAAATGCCCTGAATTAAAAGTATGACAATTAAAGTTGAATGAAATATTAAATTCTAATAAGGAACAGCAAAAACCTTTTATTTTTGATGAATGGTATAAAACAACGGTTAGAAGTAAATTCGTTATGTGCATTGGGTGACATCTTGTGTAACTTTATTGTATTATATCTTTATATATTCTTAGGAATTATGTCTTTATATTCATGAAAGAAAATGTAGAACAAGGCATCTTCACTCAGGACCAAACAGAGTGAGAAATGGTGATGTTTTAATATATTTTCAGGTCCTAAAGATCTCAACAAAATTTCTCAAATCTATCTGTTTATTTATTTTTTTTAATTTTTAAAAATATTTAGGTTGCTTAAATGGGAACCAAACCCTATTCCCTTAGTATTTCTGAATAGTATACCGTACCATTTGAATTCAAGACTTTTGACTTTTAATAATCAATATTTTTATTTTAAAAATACAGATAAATTGCTGTCCAAAAAGGAAATACGTAAAAACACAAATATGTTTATTAGCCCTTTATGTTGTATTTTAGACTTTCTCCTATATAAAACCTGACAATATTTCATTAAAAGTTTCAATTTCAAACCGTATTCTATGCTAATTTATCATATAAATATAACAAGGTTGTGGTAATTATTGACTGTTTAAGACATTAAGTACGCACCTTCATCATCTACTCTTAATTAGTAGTACTTAATTTAAATTTCACAAAGAATAAAGACGAAAAAATAAAAAGGGACTTGGACTAGAGATTGATAGGTCCTTGGTTGCCATTGATACTTCCTGATTGGGTGCCTGAATTGATCCCCCAGGAGCCAGGGCCTTTGTTGCCAATCTTGAGATTTCCTTTAGTTGGAACTGCATGTCTCCTGGTCACCCCTATTGAAATTGATATCTTCCTTGTTGTTGTTGATACTTTCCGGCTTCAGAACCAGTGTTGTAAGCTCAAGCACCGGGAACTTTATTGATGTTTTTGGTAGGCATTTGCACTTTATTGTTAGGTGCCATCGGAGAGGAGGAAGAAGGATGAGGGGTCTGCGTCCGCCTTCGCGCTGAACATGATCCATTGCCCTTTTTTTTTTTTTGGACTGGAATGATTTTGTTCAGAAATAATTTCCATAACCCCGGCGGCCAAAACCTTATTTGTAACACATAACATGAGAAACTTAATTGCTTTCTAGGAGAAGGATAGTGCACTAAATTAAAGGCAAGAATATATGTTAATTTGATGTTTCATATAATTTTAATTAGTAGTATGAACACTCAAGTTGTAATTGTTATATATGTTTCTTTTTTCTCGGATACATCTGTAGTTCCTTTATTCGATTCTAAGAGGTATATTGCCAAGCTAGCTATATTATTCCTAGCTTTAAACAATGCTTCTTTCGTAAAAGTTACAATTAGCCAAAACAAATTAAGTTTACTGAGCAAGGATTGAATCTTAATATTATTTTATAAATCAAATTCAAGATTTGAGTATTGTGATTGGTATTTAAGAAAATTAATCTTTTTTGAATGCACTGTACCAATATAGATGTGTACTTTTAGCATTGTTTAGAAAAAAAAATCTTAAAATTTATAAAAATTAATTTGAGAATACCCTAACCATTAAAATATATATATTTTCTCTCTCTTCATTTCTCTCAAATCAAACAAGTTGTAATAAATAACAACTTTCATTGCTAAAAAAGTACTATTGAGTTTAATAAATTAATCATTTTATAAAATTATTAATAAATATATTATATATATTCATGATGCAACTGCATAATTTTAATTGAGAGGTAAACTTATTGTGATATCTCAATAATTAATATCACGCTTTTTTAATTTAAGTGACTATTATACTTTTATATTGTACTTTTACTTGAGACAATTATATTTTTTTGGTTAAAACTCTCATATTATAATTTATTTTCTCAAAATTAAAGAGTACAAAATTAAAGAGTAAAATAATAAGTTAAAATAAAAAGGTGGCCAATAACATCACCTACTTCGAGACATACATTGATTGTATGCTGAGCTTTAAACTCGGTCAGTTGATAAAATGTACCCACTCAGGAGGGATAATTAGGTTCGAACACTCAACTCTCAAGATAAGAAGAAAGAATGAAAAAAATCAAAAAAATGGAAAATAAAACCTTGTGCTTTCCAAGCAACTGCAAATCCCAAATGGGCCAGGTGGGACCGGACGCACCCAAGGCCTGCCCAGATCAAACCTAGCCCACACCAATTGGGCTAGTTTCAAGCCTAGTTGTTAGTGTGGACCGACTCAGGAGTAGTCTAAAGCCCAAAAAATAAATTAATGGTAATATTTTTTAACATCAAATGAAAGCCCCGATGCCCTGTGTCGGAAGGTACCTTTGTAATTATTGAGTTGAAGCAAGTTATTAATTAAAAAATGTATTCGATAAATCACATAAAAAATTTATTTAGAAGATTTTTTTGCTCATATTTAACGACTGATATTAACGGACGTAATTTTTATGAGGGTATTTTTCATGTTCGGGCGATGCCAAGCCTGGACTCCTGTCTATCCAATGAAAAAGGCTTTAGGCAGAACTTTGTGTATAACCTTTGCATCAAGGAAGCCCAACATGTATATTACCATTTTTTTTTTTTTTTTATAAGCCAAAAAATTTTATTTCCATGAGTGCAGAAGATACCCAAACTCATTTACATTTCTTATAAAACTACTCACAATCACATAATCCTTAACAATGACACCACAAGTGGATCAGAATTATTACCGTCCTAAGCACTTTTCGGGTCGGACTTCCATAGCTCAATTGACAAGTCAGGTACCAGATTTGCCCGTAACCAATAAAATGATCTGAACTCTACCATTTTCACAAGCTCCTCCTCCTTAACCTTGTTCATTGGTAAAAGTTGTTTACTACAAGTTTGTTTCAGGCTTATTTTAAAGTGATGTTTAGGCCCTAGAACATTCAAGTTCATTGAGAAGGAATTCAATTGGTTTATAATATAATTTTAGGCTAGACTACTTAGAAAAGGATATTAAGGCTCAAATTTCAGATTTCCATCGCCGCTCCCATCTTTACACAACTTGATACAGTCAACCAAAAAAAAAAATATTTTGACTTTTATATTTATTTGATCATTATCTTTTCTTTTACCTCAAAAGGGGTAACTAGCTAGGGATAAAATTTTATATTTAGAAAATAGAAACAAAGTCTTCTTTATTGAACCTGCTAGTTTTCAAATTCTAAGTATGATATTGCTCACTTTTGCTTTATGACTTCCATCATGGTAATGTCTGAGCTTCCAGATATCTAAAAAGGACTTTTTCACGAGTTTTAATACAGTTTAAGTATGGCTAATGAAGGAATGACTGAGTGAATTAAAGGCAAAACTAATGTATAAGGATGTTAACTTTCAAGATTTTATTATATATATACAAGGATATCAATTTTTTTCCTAATCAAGGATTTAAACTTTTAAACTTCTAAACTTCTAAATATAAGGAGGTTAACTTTTGAGATTTGTTTCCTTTTAAAGTATGGAACCGTGAGAAAAAGGTACTTGAAAGCAACGTAAAATGGCACATGATGTGAGATAAACAAAAAAAAAAAAAAAGAGGAAAGGAAAAAAGAAAAAGAAAAAGGAAGATTTAAGAAAAATCCTACAAAATTCGAAAATATTGTCCATTGTCCTTAGAAGGGTGGGCAAGCAACTTCAAAATGCCTCGTTCGTATTGTCCCCCTAATTTGAGGTTACTATATTAACTTATAAGGGTTTTGACGACAATTTCCAGATTTGTCCATATATGTTTTCGAGCATGAATAGCCATAAGCTTAGAATCAAAAGCGAGGTCAATTTTCATATCAGACCAATTTATTTTATATTTGTACAACATTCATAATAGAGAATTACATTTTTCTTAAGGGAATGCAGATTTTCAAGTACACCTACAGAAAAAAATTATGTAAGAATGTCTATGAAAACTTAAATACCATTAATAAATTAACCTGCATAGATAATTTATTATGCATATTTAAATAATTTTATAGACATTCTTATACATTTTTTTTACAAGTTTACCTGAAAACCACTTCTGTTATTCCCAGTCTCTTAATTATATTGGCTCTAACTCTATCTACCGTAACTTTTTATTTAGTTAAGACCCACTAAAGGGACTGTCTTTTAGTACAATCCGTTGATTGACTATAGGTATATTGGTGCACTATTTTATTTTATTAGCAATTGGTGCACAATTTAAGCTAATTAAAATCAGCCGGGCCTGTTAATGCCATCCAGAATAACAATGAGCGCGGAGATGAAAACATAATCAACGTTGGGATATACTGTGACCGCAAACCTCTCTCCTTTCCCACCAGATTTTCAAAACTTAGCTTCTTGTACATCTGAAATATATATCATGCTTTAGATGTATTATTACAAAAAAATCTCAACTAATGCACAGAGCAGAATCTATGGAATGTATCTTACTCGTGCAACAATGTTGTTTGTCTCTCCAACATAAACGGTGCGGGAATCCTGCAAGAAACTGCCTTCCACCCTGTAATCACAGGCATACTCGTTAGTGTTTTTGGCTAAGAACACTTGTGGCTTCTTTTTCATTTGGACCATGGCACTCTTCTTTACCGTGAACAGAAAATCAGCATCCTCCGTGCTTTCTCCCTTATATGTTTCCCATCTATCATGCATGGACAATATCTGCAATTCAATCATATACACGTATTTCCCTTTCTTAATTACAAAAACAACAAATACTAATCCATCGATCGGTTTTTTCTGAAAATTATTATAGACTTACTCGGCGTTGGGGAGTGAAGATGGGTTTTCCATCAGAATCAACTAAGAGAAGCTGGTCTCGGATGCTAAAAAAATTCGCCGTGACCTTAAACACCACTTGCCATTGGTGTCAGTGATGACGACTTTGCCATCCTTTAAGATATCACCTAAATCTCTCCTCACCAAAACAAGATCAACTGGATATAAGGACACACATCTACTATTGAAACAGGATACATAATTAGTTGGAATGACAAATATATATTGAAGAGGACAGTAGGAACTGATTGGCTAATGGGACTTGAACTTTGTTGGAAACAAAAAAGAAGAAGAATAATTTGAAGAAAGGTTTATCGCTTTTTTGTTTTTATTGTATATACAAAGATCCTATATATAGATCTATACAATAGAATATTCTCATATATATAAAATTATACAATAGAATATTCCTAGGTATAAAACCAATTGACTTAAATGTATATAATCAATTATAATATGAATATAATAATTTAGAATAAATACTTATATTTTAACATCTCGGCAAACTCAAGGTGGTGGTGAGAAAACTAACTTGAGTTTGGAAAGAAGAGTTTGGAAGCATCTAGGGAAGTGAGTCTCGGTAAACAAATCAATGGGAACAAATCAACGGGTTGATCAGTAGACCTAATGAAAATCAAATGAATAATTCCCTTTGCAACATGATGACGAATAAAATGACAATAAATCTCGATATGCTTTGTGCATTCATGGAAGACATCATTGTGTGCAATTGGTATAGCATTTTGATTATCACAATATAAATTAGTAGAAGAAGGCTGAGGAATGCCATATCTTCAAGAAGCCACCGTAATGAAAGAAGTCCTGATGTGATATCACCGAGAGTTCTATACTCAACTTCAATACTAAAGTGAGATAAAATAGTTTGTTTCTTACTCCGCCAAGAGATAAGAGAATTACTAAGGAAAAAACACTAACGAGTGGTAAATCTGCTATCAAAAGGATCACTAGCCAAATTAGTATCAAAGTAAGCATGAAGCATAGGGGAGGAGTCAACAAAAAAATAGAGTCCATGAAACAATGTTCCCTTAACAAAGCAAATAATGTGAGGTACTATTGCATAATGAGTAGAGCGAGGAGCAAGCATAAACTGACGAACAATGTGAACTGCATATGATATGTTAGGGTGTGTTGTGATTAGATAAGCCAAATTACCAATCAATTGTCGATAACGAGTAAGATCAGAAAGTGGAGAGCCATCCATAGATGTAAGCTTGACATTAAATTCAAGAGGCGTAGAAACACTCTTGCTATCGTTAAGTTTAGCTTTAGAAACAAGATTAGAGGCATACTTTACTTGAGAAAGTAGGTAGCCATCATTTAAAGATGCAACTTTAAGCTCTAGAAAATAGCTCAGAACACCAAGATCTTTCATCTCAAATTTCTAACTAAAAGATCATTTTAGCTTCTTAACACCTGCAATATCATCTCCAGTAATAATCATGTTGTCAACATAAAAAAGTAAAAGAACCATACCCCGAGCAGTCTTATGAATGAATAGAGCTATATCATGTGGATTGGAAGTAAAACGAAACTCACACACTGTAGCACTAAACTTTGCATACTAGGCTTAAGGGGATTGCTTCAATCTATATAATGCACATCGCAATCGGCATACCTTGTTTGGAGGATGCTTGAGCTTTGGAGGATGCTTGAGCCTAGGAGGTGGTTTCATATAAACTTCTTCTAAGTCACCATTAAGAAAAGCATTTTTCATATCCATTTGAAATAATTGTTATCTTCATATAGCAATGATAGTAAGCAAATTGCGCACAGATGTGAGACAAGCAACTGAAACAAATGTTTCCTCATAGTCTATTCCATACTCCTCTGTAAAACCCTTGGCAACCAAACATGGCTTATAATGCTCCATAGAACCATCAAATCGTGTTTTGATCTTATACACCCATTTATAGCCTATCAGAGACTTTTTAGTATAGGGATCAACTAAATCCCATGTATGAGGCTTTTCAAGAGCTTGTGATTCATCTTGCATAGCTTGTTGCCAAAAAGGGTTAGAAGAGACCTCTTGATAGGATTGAGGCTCATCTAAAGAAGTAATAATAAGAAAACAATGATAATCACAAAGGCAGTTGGGAGGGTTTCTTACCCAATTAGGATGACTTGAGGATGAGACAACAAGCTCATTTGCAAACTCAACAATATCAAATGCAACATTAACAGGTGATACATATGAGGAAGTAGAGGAAGGCTCAGAATTATCTAATGCATTACCAGTAAGTAGATCATCTTCTGTAGAACTAGTTAGAGCATGTGGTGAGGCATTGTAGAGCTCATTAGATGTACCTACATTAGAATCACTAGGAAATAGCTCAACAGAAGGATTAGTAAAAAATGGAGGTTGAAGAAAGGATGACACTTTGAAGTTTGTGTTTGCATTCAGCTTGCCCATTCTATCAAGAAGTGTAAGGACAAGATTGTTGTGTTAATGTACCCTGTTTTTTGAGAAAGGATTGAAGTTTGTACTAAGATATTCAATAGCACTATTAGTTCTTAAAACTTTGATAATCATATAGAATTAAGTTTTGACCATGCTAGCAAAATCAATATAAATTTGTAATAATTCAAAGTAATTTTTCATAAGATATATCTAGGTAAAATGAGTATGATCATCAATAAATAACACAAAGTACCTAGAACCCCCATGGTAGGTGTAGGAGATAGACCTCAAACTTTGAATGCACGAGATCAAAAGGAGTAGTAGGAAGAGAATGACTACTCGAAAATGATAAAACTGGTTGCTTTGCAGATTGACATGACACACAATGTAAGGATTCATGCAGAATAGATCCTAATAAACCACGAGAGATAAGTGAATGAAGTTTATCGCCTGAGGTATGTTTAAGCCATGAGTGCCATAAATGGAGAAGAGAAATGTTAGTAATAGCATAGGCTTGCAAATTTTTTTGATATGGAATTTGTAAAGACTCTAATTCAACAGCACAGAGCAAAGTTTAGATGAAGTAATCATTTGGAGATGGTGGTGTATCCATTTTATGATGTGGAATATGCAGATAATTGAGCTTAAACATATGCTCCACCTTGTGACCAGTTCCAAGAAGTTGTCCTATTTGTAGGTTCTACACATAGAAATCATGAGCAAAAAATGTTACTTCATGGCCAAGATCACATAATTGACCAATAGATAGAAGATTATAACTAAGTTTTGAAACCAAAAGAGCATTTGGTAAAGGCAATGAATTTATAGAAATATTGCCAATGTGACTAACATTTATAGAGGAACCATCAGTAGAATAAATATTAGGAAAGGAATTATTGAGTTACATTGAAAAGAAATGAGCAGTAGTTGAAGACATATGGTTACAACAACTAGAATTAAAATACTAAGGTTTGGTACCTAGAGTAGCAAATAAGGCAGTAAGAGCATTAAAAAGATTTAATATCACCTATTTTAGGAATTCAAGATTGACATTAGGTTGGTCTATTACTTCTTTGGCAATCATAGCAATAGCACGATGAGTTACAGTCCTTTCAAAACTTCCCATAGAATAAGTAAAACTCACAATGCTGAAGAAATCTCTAAAAATATAAAGAAATAAATGCCAAGATCGAAATAATAACTCAACAGAGTACCTAAAAAAAAGCCCAAAAATTGAGAATAAACAATCCAATCTATAGAAGAAGAGATCCCAATGATAGAGTTTCGGATCTAGAATGGATTTGAAATTTCAACTCAAAAAACCAAACAACGATGATAAAAGAGAAGAATTAAGAGCTTATAGCTCTGATAACATGTTGAAAATAGAAAAGAAGAAGAATAATTTAAAGAAAGGTTTATTGCTTTCTTGTTTTCGTTATATATACAAAGATCCTATACATAAATCTATATAATAGAGTATTCTTATGAATAAAACCAATTAAATTAAATATATATAATCAATTATAATATGAATATAACATTTTAGAATAAATACTGATATTCTAACAAACTTGATGGTGTTAGCTTTAGCGTGACCTACATTTATAAGTAATATGGATAACTAGGCATAAGGTTCCTCAAATATTGGAGACATGCTTAATTATATTCCAACAAATTAAGAGAGTGTAAACGTTTGACTCAATACGTAATATGAGATGACGTGATATGATGACCCTCAAGATTAATAATTAAGGAGAAGGAGATTCTGTTAAGATTAGGCACACGTCCTTGTAAATTGCTAGTATCCAACTAGGCATAAGGTTCTTCAAATATTTGAGACAAATGTTTTAATTATATTCCAACAAATTAAGAGTGTAAACGTTTGAATCAATACGTAATATGAGATGATGTGATATGATGACCCTTAAGATTACCAATTAAGGAGAAGGAGATTTTTTCTTTTTGAAAGGCAAAGAAATTTTATTGATAGTGAGTACAAGGGATACTCAAACCCATGTTCATTGTGCTACAAAAAACAACATCCCATAACCCACAAAAGGCCACATTAGAATCTGCACAAGTTAGGGTTAATAATCCAATCTGAAAGTAGGCAATGCTTGTCTTTTCCTCTATTTGCTACCCATAGGAAGGCTCTTGTTTGGACTAAATCGAACATCCTAGTAGTATCAACCTCCTCTTTGTTAAACAGCTTTCTATTCCTGGTTAGCCAAACTGTCCATACCAGTGATAACCAAATAGCTTCCCATCCTTTTTTCTTGCTTGGATATGGTGGAGAGTCTACATGCTTCACGAATGCCTCCCAGCAATTATCAGTATTCTTTTTCTATAGGTTCCACCATTTGTAACATTTGTCCCAAATTTCTTCCACAATTCTGCACTTTAAAAAAAGATGATCTCTATCTTCAACATGTTCATTACATAAACAGCAGATCAGTTCATGAGCTTGTGTGATTATTCCCCTATTGAATAGGTTTGCCTTAGTGGGGATTTTGTCAAGTAGGAGTTGCCAAACGAAACCACAAATCTTTGATGGGATGTAACTATTCCACACTCTATCGAATTCATGTCTGTCGTTGTAGTCTTGAAGAGAAGTTAGATGATGGTATCCCTGGTATGTATCTAGAACCAACTGTCTTTAACTCCTTGCTGAAGGTTGACAAAGTCCAAGCCTTGTAGTATTTGTTCCCTTCCTACTGCTTCCCATTCATGTAGTTCACGTCTCCAGTTCAGGTTCCATTCTTATCGTCCTTCATTCCATTCTCCCATTTGACTTACTTTGTTGTCTATTCCTACAGAGATCAAATAAAGTCTTGGGTATTTGTTAGCTAAAGTGCCATCCTTACTCCACTTATCTTTCCAAAAGCTCACAGCACTCCCATCCCCAATTCTAATTTTAAGTCCTCGAGAAAGCCACCCTTGACTATTGATGTCTAAGTTGTCTACCTTACATAAGTCTTTCCACCAATTAGAGCCATACCCTCTACCCTCTTGAACCCACCGATACCAATTTTCATTCATCTTCCCATATTTTTCTCTAATAATTTTAGACCAAAGAGAATCGTCACCCTTAGCTAACTTTACCCACCATTTTCCAAGTAAAGAGAGATTAAAATATCTCATGTTCTTGACCCCTAATCCACCTTCTAGCCTACTCTTACATACCTTTTCCCAACTAACCCAATGGATTTTCTTAGACTCTTCGCAACCACCCCATAGAAAATTATTTCTAATTTTATCAATAGCCTTAATAATGCCTTTGGGAGCCAAGTAAATAGACAAGAGAAACACTGGCAAGGACGAGAGCACAAAGTTAAGCAAAGTGATTCTACTGCCAAGGGAGAGCCATTAACCTTTCCAAGTAGCTAATTTCTTCAAGAAGCTATCAAGTAGAGGCTTCCACAATTCCATTCTTCTATGGTTACCTCCAATAGGAACTCCCACGTATTTGAATGGCATACTTCCAATCTTACAATTCAAGAGGCAAGCCATTTTATGTATCCATTCCTCACCCACATTGACCCCCCATAAGTTGGTTTTTTGAGTAGTTTATCTTCAATCTAGATGCTAGTTCAAATGTCCTCACGATGCATTTTGTTGCCCAGACATTGCTCTCCTATGCTTTCCTAAAGAAAAAAGCATCATTTGCAAATTGGATATGTGAACAATGGATTCCATTTTATGCTACTTCCACACCATCAAACAATCTTAGTTCAGTTGCCTTTGTAATGATTTCATTTAAGCCCTCTGCTATTATCAAAAACAGAAGGGGTGAAAGAAGGTCACCTTGTCTTAAGCCTTTGCTGACCTTCAATTGCCTTGTAGGACTGCCGTTGAAAAGGATTGATATCATACTAGTTTGTAGACATTATGTAATCCATCCTCTCCAAATTTCTCCAAATCCCATTCTCTAGAGCATGTAATCCAAGAAGTGCCAACTAACTTTATCAAACGCCTTTTCAAAATCAATTTTGAAGAAAAAGCACTCCCTCTTTCGCTTTTTGGCATCATCTATAATTTCATTGGCAATTACTACTCCTTCACTTAATTGCTTGCCTTTAATGAAAGCCATTTGTTGTTCCCCGATGACTTCTAGAATCACCATGCTGAGCCGATTTGCAAGAAGTTTTGCAATGATTTTGTACATGGCTCCTATTAATAAGATTGGTCTATATTCTTATATTTTCTATGGATTGCAAACCTTCAGAATGAGGGTGACAAATGAGGCATTAGATCCCGCCACAATTCTCCCGTTCTTGTGAAATTCTTGAACAAAATCAACAGTATCCTTTTTAATTACTTCCCACATGCGTCTAAAGAATAGAAAATTGTATCCATTTGGTCTTGGAGCTTTAGAGCACCCACAATCCCATACTGCTTTCTTAATCTCCTTCTTAGAGAAAGGAGATATGAGAAGATTGCCTTGGGCATTTGAGATTTGCTTAAAGTTGATGCCATTTAAGACAGGTCATATCAAGTCATCTTCTTTGTATAGCTCTTCAAAATACTTAGCTATTCCTTCTTTGATTCCCTACACACTATTTTGTTAGCAACCATTAATTTCAATACAGTTGATCTCTTGCTTCCTCTCTCTGTTTTTTATACATCTGTGGAAAAATTGGGTGTTGGCGTCAACATTTCTGAACCATTCTTTTCTTGCCTTTTGTCTGCTCATTTTTTCTTTAATCTTTAACCCATCCCATAGATCTAGAAATAGCTGTTTTTGTGTGGCTATCTCTAGGCTTGTTAATTGTGTTTGCTCTGCTTATTTATCCAACTCTACAATGCCCTCCTTTGCCTCCTTGATTTTGAGCTCTGTTTGATTAAATTTCGTATAGCTCCATTCTTTAATTCTGTTTTTAGTCACCTTCAATTTCTCTTTCAAGCAATAACCCTTCCAGCCTTCAAACTTTGCAGATTTCCAAACATCCAAGACAACTTTAGTAAAATCTGGGTGGTTTACCCAATCATTGAATAGCTTGGAAGGTTTAGGGCCCCAATTAATTTTTTGCTCTTTCAAGATGATAGGACAATGATCTGAGACCGATCTTATAAGTCCCCACTATTTTACCCCACTCCACTTATCCAACCAACTTTCAGATAATAGGAATCTATCTATCTTGCTCATCGATCTTCCACTAGGATGATACCATGTATATTTCCTCCCAATTAAGGGTAAATCTATCAACCCTGTCTCTCTAACAAAATAATCAAAACCCTTCATTCCTCTAAATGAACCATCTGCTCCTATTCTTTCGTTAGGATTCCTAGTGCAATTGAAGTCTCCCATCAAACACCGACATCTACTTCCACCACTAAGGAGAAGGAGATTCTGTCAAGATTAGGCACACGACCTTGTAAATTGTTATTATCCAATGCAATATGTCCACAAAATATGCTTCAAAGTTTCCTCTGCATCACAAAACGAGAATATATGTGTATCAATTATTGCTTGATGAGTATTAATTCCAAAACTGTAGTCTTCTAGAAATCCACCACCTATCTTTCCTGGATTCTATCTAAATTGTCTCAATTACATGTCACAATTACACAATTATTTGTCTTATAACAAACCATGAGTAGAGAAGCAAGTGGCTCAACTACCTCTCCTTCATGATTTTAATTGCTAAATCAGTAGATGTTAATAAGAGCATTAAATTAGAAGATGTATTAATCTTTTTTTTTTTTTAGAAAAATAATCAGTTATCTGGTTAACAATCATTGCATTCTCTTTTTTTTTTTTTTTTTTTTTCTTTTGAGATAACAGTTGTTGCATTTTCTTGTCAACAAAGAGGCTACTGGAAAGTTAAAATGCATATATTCTCTCTGCACAATTTGTAGATACACGCAGATTTTTGGGCGAACAGCATTTATCAATCTCATTACATTAGAATCATTTTCATTCTAGTCCCACATTTTAGATCGGCATCAGCACTAACTATTTTCCCTTTTCCTTCAGCAAGTTTTTATTTTCAATAAATCAAAATGTTATTTCTTTAGAATTAATTTGCAAGTTCATCACAAATGAGTAGGACTATAAATGAGTTGAGCTACTTGTTAGTTTGAAAATGTTTTTAACTTAAACTTGAATATATATAACTTGTAAGTTACTCAAACTGTAATTTAATAAAAAGAAATCAATTATGTCTTAGCTTTGACATTAACACAGTAAATTAAAATTTTCCGTTAATTACCTTGGCCATCAATTGATTAAAAGGATATTGATGAGAAGTTGGATGGTATCGCGAAAATACAATAGACTTTCTCCTCATCGTGCCACCGTCTCACCATCTAACTCGACTCAACAACGACGGCATAAGACCAATAGCCAAGGTTGTTAAAATCGAAATTTTACCTAAAATCGAAAAAGAAAAATAAGATTGTAAATTGTAAGATCGCAAATAGGATCGTAAGATTTTAACAAATTTTTGTGTATTTATATAATTAATAAAAACAAATATAAATTATGTAAATATCTTAAAATAAATTTTTAAGATTGTTTAATGATAAAATAAATCTAAAATAAAATATTTAAAAGTTCAAATATAAAGTATTTAATAATTCATAATATAATTTAATACTTAAATCTGCAAATCAAATAAAATAATAATAAAAGAATAAATAATTGTTAATGATAATTGTTATTATTAATATGAAAAATAAAAGTAAATTCAAAGAAATCAAAAAAATTAAAAGAAATCAAAAAGGTTAAAAAATTAATTATATAAAATTA